CTCTCTCTCTCTCTCTCTCTCTCTCCCTCTCCCCCTCTCTCTCAGTTTTCTCTCCCTTCTTCTCTCTCCCTTCTACCATCTCCCACCCACTCTCTCCTTCTTTGTACAGCTGGAAGTCAATCCAGACAAACAGTTAATTAAGAGCTGCAAGACGTTACAGTTTTACGTAGTGACAGACCCAGACCCTTTACAAAGAAATAACCTGAAACAAATGAAGCGATGTTGTGAAACAGCTCAGTAACCCCACATAATGGCCAAAAATCAATAGAGGAAAAAAGAAATAGCAAAAGGGGTAGGGGTGGGGTGGGGGTAGGGTAGGTAGGGTGGGGTGCGGTGCCACCTTTTGTTCTCTGCACACATATTTTTGTATCTGATTATGAGCGGAGCATACCAAGACACTTCGATCGATAGATAGATAGATAGATAGATAGATAGATAGATAGATAGATAGATAGATAGATAGATAGATAGATAGATAGATAGATAGAGTTATGCAGATATGCTGAGGAAACGTTATTTTCATTTTATAAAGTATGAACCGCATAAAAATTGAGATAATGAGCTTAGGTCGATTTCCTATTAATGAGTATAGAAATAGATTCAAGTTTTGAACGAATTGATTGTTTATTTAATGAGCAATAGACTAGTCTCCAAAATGTATGATCAAAGTAAGAATGAATAAATGGCAGAATGGGAGTAGGAAAGGAATATTAATTAAATAAACGGGTGAGGTAAAAATACATTTAATATAAACTAACATTGAAAAGTAAGACCTAAGAGAAAAAAAATAGCACTGAAAGGAATTAGAAGAACGCACAGAAGCGCTTACAAATGGCTTCCTCTTTCGGTCGTAAATAAAGCTGTAAATGAGAAACAAAATAATATAACCATCAATTCGTTATAGCAGTGGTCGACGAAGACCAAAAGAATCATAGAATTTTTTTCAACCGAGCTCCTATCATGCGTGTCTCCGCATAGCCTCCTACAGTGATTTTGGATCGACAATCAGTCAACTGGAACCAATAGCGTTTGTGCCTCTAAAGAGACAGTGGAACGACGGGAGTGTTCAGCTAGAAAGAAGCAGTGTTACCCACATTAAAAACACACCAGCGAACAACAAGCATGCATACACACGCTGACACGCACGCACGCACGCACGCACGCATGCATGCAAGCAAACATACGCACGCACGTACTTGCACAAACATACACACATGCATACACACGCACACAGGAACACGTCTCCCTGTTTCTAATGCCATAAACACACATGCTCACACACATATTATAGCGCGCTCGCGCACACACACAGACACACACACACACACACACACACACACACGTGA